AACAATGTAAGTGCAGGTGAACAGTTAGGAAACCATTTTAAGTTTGTAGGAACCGATCTGTGAACTGGAGAACCCAGGCACCTATAGGAACGAGGTAGGAACCAATTTGGAACCAAATGGAACCAGTTTGAGCATGGAAGAGCTTGGAGATGGATTTTCGTTTGTTTTTGTGGTTTGTGGTGTTTTTGGATGTTCTTTGACCCATGTCCTAGGAACTTGATGTTGTGACTGTATTTGGTAGGAGTTTTGTAGGGTATTTGTGAGTTTGAGCTGAAGACGTTTTATTTGGAGAAGCTGGAAGAACGTGTTTAAAGCTTGAGAACTCTTTTGAAGTAGTTTGAGAACCTTTGAGTGTCAGTGCGTTTTATTCTGCACTACTCTTCTAAGAAGAAGAGTGACTGAGCTGTCCAACCTGTGTGGTTTGGCTCAAGTCCGAGCTGTGAAAAAGAGCTGCCGCGCCGCACTCGTGTTTTCACATGGTAGCGGAGCCATGAAATCTCTATAGAAGCGCTGACACCAAGGGCGTCTATAAAATTGCAAACGTTGACACTGGATAGGTACCCCCAAACAAAGGATGGCCCTAAAACGCACAATGTTTCGAAGCTTATAATTTTCGAGAGGATATTGCAAGGAGGAAAATAATCAGGATGAATGGTTACAAGCCCTTGCGATTTCTATCAACTTAGGCAGCAACGTCGCAAGGCAAGGTCCGGAAAACCAGCCATTTTGATTCACATATCTGCCAACGCACGCGCGGATGCCTGCGGATGCCCCTGCGGATGCCGGAGAACCCTTGCGAAGGACCACTGCGGATGCCAAAAGCCAGCAAAAAATGGCCGCGGATGCATTTCCGGCGTTTGAGAAATACAAAGTAATAGAAAGCAACCCGCCCTGCGGATGCCCAATGGGGTGTGTGGCACATTGTATGGGGGGGAGGGGGTTTTCTGCCGTTTCCTCCCCTTCCCTCGGTGACGCCTTCGTGTTGAGGAGTTCTCTTCTTCCCACTTGCGGCTTCCATGCCTCTTTCCAAACTTGGCCTTGCCACGCGTTGACTCCCCATCAGGTCTCGCCTCCCAGACTTGGCCCTGCCACATTCTAGGTTCCCATAAAGTGGTTTCTGCGAAACCGGTGCCTGCCACATGTTGACGTCCTCAAAGGCGGTTTCTTCCACAGTAGCTCCTGCCATGCGTGCCTCGGGCAGGCCTCGGTAAGCCTTGGAGCGCCTCGAATGCCAACAAACCTGCTTCATCATGGCCCCCAAAACAGGATCCAAAAAACCAGTAGAAACATGGCGGCCAGAAAGGGACCTCGACTGTACAAGAAACAAAGTGGGACGCACAGAGAGAAAAAGCATGTATTAACACTTACGCTCATGCTAGTGCGTCGCAAATCTGCTTGCAAAACCTCTGCGGGCAGCAGCAAACTTCTCCGATGGCTGACCCACTTTTGGGTCCAAATCTGGATCCCAAAACGGGGCCCAAGCAAAGACCTAAAAGAAGGAATGAAAATGTGATCCAATTCTGGACCCCATTTTGGGGTCTATATTTGGACCCAAAAATGGGGTCAGCCATCGGAGAATTTCGCTGCTGCCCGCACATGTTGTGCAAGCAGATTTGCGACCCTGCAGCTTGAACATGAATGTCAACTCATACCTTTTTCTCTTTGTGCGTCCCAAGTCCGGTTGCTACTGTATGTTGAATGTTTTGTGTGGCATCTTTTGATGCTAGGGAAGTTGAAGCAACGGAAACCACAGTGCGAAAGTGTCATGTACTTGAACATATGCGTTCACTGCACAGGATCCGGAAGTTCACCTTCGGTCCGTTGCCGTTTTTGCTTCAAACTTCCCACTTCGATTTCGTTTTCCCCCCACCACCCCCTGAGGTTTTGCTTTTGGAACCCCCCACTCATACTTCGACTGTAACATACCCCATTTCTTTGTGTTGTTTGGTCGCTTTGTGAAGGGTTACCATCGTTGAAATCGAGGTCACCCTGCACATAACGGACCCGCTGGTTCTAACTAGTGTACAGACTTGGACCCAACATTGGCACCATGCCTAAGAAAGGATTACGCACCACTTGCGGCAGCTCTTATGTTGAATGTTTTGTGTGGCATCTTTTGATGCTAGGGAAGTTGAAGCAACGGAAACCATAGTGCGAACTATATAATACAATTTGAAAAATTTATTTTGTGCAAGATGTTTTATTTAATATTTTTATGTTTATATATATATATATATGTATTTTTCAGGTAAATAATATTATATTATTTTTTTGATATATTATATATTTTTTATTATATACATGTTTTGAGATATTATTCAATTCCTATTATATATTATATATGCAATATTTTTAATATATTTTTGTTTTGTTGTATTATATTTGTTCGATTTTCTTCTGCATTTTTTTTGAAAATATATATTATATATATGTATATTCACACATTTGACGTGCTTTGTATTCTACAAGTGGTCTCCAAGATGATTATATGTTTCATTGTATTCTACAATGTCATGCTTTGTGCCGCATTGTACGAAAATGAAATTGCAACAAAAAACGCGTGAATTTCAGTGGAAACAAAACAACACTGTTGAAAACAACGTGTAATCTTGCAAAAATATGGACGGGTAACAAAAAACAAAGGAAAAAACAAACCTAAAAACAAACAACACAATTTTCTCAAAAATGATGCCAACGGGCTTAAAAAATTGCATGGATTAGTTTATTTAATTTAACTACAATTTTTAGCTGGTGAATGTTTAAATTTGTCTTCGAACGGCAATTTTTTAGTTTTGTCAGTTTTGTTTTGTCAAATTTAATGCGTGTTGTATGTTGGCGTGGACCGCAAAATCAGAAATGGCATTCAAATACGTGCATTCAACCATTTGAAAAAACACGGGAACTGACATTTGAATTTGTTTAACATGAGACATTAATTGCCAGTCTCTGTCACTCCGCATTGAAGCAAACACATTGTGACAAAAATGGCAATTGGCAAACAACACAACGCACGAAGTAAATTCCAGCTATGGCCGCTCCTGTGATCTTTGAATACGACCCAGCCACGGGTCAAACACTGGCAAGTGCCATCCCAGAGGCCTTGGGTGAGTGAATTATACCATGTTTCCTATGGACAATGGATGACAATGGCACATTTTTAGATGATTTACCTACTAAAAATGGGTGGTTTTCCATGGCTATGTAGACAATAACCACAAGGCGTTTGGCCAAGGTGGACAGTTCCAGCATATTTGCATGTGACTTTGCTGCTGCGCAGGACCTCTTGCCTTTGTCGCTGTCGGACATAGCAGAAGATGGACCAATTCTTGGGCTGGATTCCTAGCAAAAAAGTCACCGATTGCGTTCTTGGAGTTTCTTGGACGTGCTTGTGATGCAGCGCATGATGACAGAACAATCAAAACCACATGTAACACGTGATATGAGAATACGAAGTCATCGGTGCGTCTCTGCTATGGCAAATTGCCTTTAGAATGGGTCCACTGTGTACGTGAGCCTGACATGAAATGAAATGTACAATGGCAAATTAACAATTCAATTTCTTGGAATTTTGGGCTGGTGTTTGTGTGACCAATCTGTACCAGTGCTCGCTTGACTGTCAAAACGTTTGACTCATCAGTGGCCAGCAAGATTTGATGGGACATGTATATACAAACTATTGATTAGAATTGTCATGTTTCTGCGCTTTCTACACTTGTTTGTGGATTTGTGGGCTAGAGGATGTTGAGAAAATTTTGGTATATTGTAGCTTGTAGCGTAGCTTAGAGTAACATAGTGTAAAAAAAACCAAGAACAACACATTGAGCCGTCGGACCAAACCATTTCTGGATTCGAATTTTTGTTCCAAGGAGTGTTCATTATGCAACGAACACAAATTCTTTATCTCAACGCCAAATTGAACACAACACACGACAGAAAACGTGGATGGGGATTGCCACCATCCACTTTTACAGTGAGTCAATAATTTTCAGAACCGCCAGAAAATAGGCGTTTTCGATAATAATTTTATATAATAACCATCATAAATTTCAAGGTGTTTCAATTATCAACGAATCAGTGTCCATACTGACTACTGATTTCACATTCTTCAGGTCAGGTGTTGCCAACGAGGCATGCTGTGTTTAGCTGTGCTGCTGACTAAGTGGGGGTTACTGATTGGGGGCGCCTTGATTTAACAATGTATCAAAATAAAATGACATTTGCTTAACATATAAATTCTGGTCCTTTATGCTGACGTGATCTGAACTACTCCAAGTCAATCCATTATCCAGTCTTTGCAGCCCCAAACCCAAGCAAGTGAGATGCAAAAATAAACTTCAAGTTCGTATCGCCTGAATCAGATCCTGATTCCACCTCAAGATGCCATCAAACAAGATACTAAGTTGTTATATGTACCTGGACACAGTTTTATTGGAGCTGGTTTGCAGGTTTGTAGTGCACTTTGACAGGTCCATATTCCTGTTTGGATAGGTTTCCTGCACCATTTCCAATGGAAAATTCATCTGAAACCTGGAATTGTGGGATGTTTATCTACACGATGATTAAGCTTTCTGATTAAAACATGATATAGTTTTTCATCCTTGATTCTGACGTGTGTGTGCTTGCGGTGGAGGCTGAAACTTGGTATCTTCTTAGAATCATCGAAAGAAACCGGGATGGCCAATCGCCCAAAGACATCCTAAGTAAAACCTCTTTGGGTTTGTCTAAACACAGACCCCCAAATCCATTGTGGGGGTATACATACACCATTTTGAGACAAAACCATTTAGCTATGGCAGGTATGTGATCCTCTGGAACCACAGCGTCGGGGTTCCCAGCGATTCCAATCCCGATGAAAAGGGATCATTGCAATCCACTATTGGAATAGCATGGAATAGCTATATCCAAATCAGTACTATTTGGTTTCTGACACTCAATTCCCAAAGCCCGCAATGGCGCTTGCAAGTCTTTTGGTCCAAGAGAAACTTGGTTGACACGATCAAATGCCAGTGCCAGATGGTCCCACTGAAGGCATTTTTGCCAAAATCTTATTTGGATGGGCAATCTTGGCCGTGATTTTCTACGTGTGGTCCTACGTGCGTGAGGGCAAGTTCATTGGAGAAGACTACTTTGAGGATAGTCAGGTCCAAAACGTCCAAAACGAGAAGAAGCACCACTAAAGCAAGGAGAAGATGCACCAGGATCCCGAAAACTCACAGAGGGCACAGAGCTCTGAGTGTCAACTGATTCTGTGTCCTGCGACTCCTTTTTTTCAGAAAACCTTTATGGATAAAAACTTGAAAACGTGATGAACATGTCGTTCTGAGAACTCCCGGCAAGAATGGAACTGCACATGATGGAGTTCCTCGAACATCCGTGAAGAGGTGCAGTGGAAGAGCGGATGTGCAGATGTGGAGATCAGGCCTGCAATTTCCAGAAGAATCGCACCAATATTCTCGCTTTAGTGGCCAAATGTCAGTTGCACTGGACTTCAAAAACGACAGGTCCAATCACACTGCTCCGATCAGTGAAGAGATTTGCTACTAGGTACAAGAATTGTTAGGCATGACTTGGCCGGCTTGTCCAGACCGCTGCGCCGCTGCCTCTCGGAAAAGGACTTTGTGCGTAGCTAATTTCTCCTAGGTCTCGAGTGTCACTTTTTGAAAGATCAAATTTGGACTGGTCAGATCTTTGAAAAATGCCAACATCGGTTCCCGAGGCCTGCAACCTTACCATACCTCCGTTTGAATTGTTTTCTGCCATTGGGAATCCCAAGAAATTGGGAATCCCCCAAAAAATCAGGTCTGCAACTTCACCACCATTGTTTTTCCATCATTTTCGCCTTCATTTTAGCCAGAAATCAGGGGGGTCCCATCCCCCATTTCCACATGGTTTTCGCCGTCAGGCGTGCCGAGTGCACCCAGCAGTATGCCCAATGCTCCACGGGTGCAGCCCAGTGTGGACACGCCAGTACTGAACCAGGTGGGGTTGGTGATGGTGGATTTTCATTGGCGGATTTGATTATTCTGAATTCGAGCGGAAAAACATCAAACAAAATCGAGAAACAGCATCCAAAGTCTCAGTGGAGTTTCGTTTGTAATCTTATGATGCTATAGCTTATGTCACATAGGTTTGTGCAAAAATGGGTTTTCCCTATACCGAAACCCTATGGTTGATCATCATTTTCCATATCTAAATAGCCCTAAAAAATTGGGATATTGCAGGTTTCTCTTGGCGTATCCATCATCTGTCCACATGAAGGCTGGCAAAGCCAAAGTTCGCAGAGCTGTGAAACAGGCGGGGCCCTGCAGATTGGAAGGGGAAGCTGAAGCACGAGCAAATCGGGCAAGTCATGTGGGTTTGTCTGAAAATAAGGCACACCCATCATCATTTTCCCACTTACGATTGCCAATTATTGGGGGAATACCTGGACACCATGGTACACCTTTTTTTTTTAAGGCACAGCCATGTACTGAATGACACTTATATATATAGTTTTGTTTGAGGGTTCCATGATGCATCCATGCGAGTCTAGAGCTGGCAACAATTCAGGCAGCCTCCCTGGACGATCTTGTTGCGAACTCAGCTGGAAACAGGCCACTGCTTTGGTAAACAGCCATTTAGTCTGCACGGAGTGCGGGGTGTCAGATTGAATTTGCGCATATTTCAACAACACGCTGCAAAGATACTTCCTTTGTACAAGGCTTGTACATTTGACTGTATCATACCTTGTACCCTCTGGTAAACTAACATAGCTATGGAAAATCACCATTTTTAATGGGAAAATCCACTATTAATGGCCATTTTCAATAGCTACGTTAAATTACCAGAGGGTACTCGTAAGACAAGACCTGAAAAGATGTGCTTGGAGGTGAGAATAAAGTTCTTCGCTTCCTGGACCAAGATTTCAAATGACCATCACGAACCAACAACCATGTCTACAGCAAGTCAAGTATATAATATACGATATACACATATATATATATGTCTCTACACATAATATTCAGATTTTGGACTTGAAGTCGAGACCAAGAACACGCTTTGAACATCGAGGCTGATTTTGATTTGCTGTTTTCAAGGCTGAGATTGAGAAAGCTCTGGACTCTGGAAGGACGGTAGCTGTACCAACTTCCTCACCAGAACTTGGGTGACCCACTTAGGGGTCTTCTAGTTATAAATGGATATATTTCACCATATTTCACCCTAGTGTTCTAGGGGCATGATGTCCGACCCTACCTATGAGATTTATGAGGGTTGGCATGGATACTCATAAATAGTCCTAATTGCACCCGAGCAGAAGAGTCTGCGAGAGGCTTGCACTAGAAGATACGTAGATAGGCGCGGCCTCCTGCTCAACCATGGCCAGGATCTCTGATTCCCTCGCAGCGAGACTAAAACTTGGCCCTGATGATTTCATATCTTCCAGGTGCAGCAACACCTACCACAGGATTCACAGCTTCTGCATGGAACTGAAGTTGCAGCTCCTAGCATCTCCACAAGAGAGATCAATCGTCAATGCTGCTACCTGATCCACTCGCGGAAGTTGAGTGCCGGTTGCAGGTCAGAGTCGAGTGCTCCTTTGCCACTGGGAGCGTTTGCTTCTTAGATGGATCAAGGTTGCAAAGTGGGGTGTCGCCCAATTCTCATCAATCCACTTAAATCACTTAAGATCGGCCCTGAGAAGTGCTTCATGTGATTCCAACTTTAGCATCCATTGATCTGTTGAGGAAGCATGGCAAGCTGCGACCAAGGCAGGTTCTGACCCCCGGAGGCCTCCTGAAGGTGAGAAACTTCATCGAGCGGGCCAAGACCCCAAGACCTGTGACACCGTTGACACCTTTGACACCTTTGGCACTGATCAAACATTCATGTTTTGTTCATGTTCCTTTCATGTTCTGCAAGTGTTTTCATGTATTTCATGTTCCATACTTTCCTTTTTTTTCTCGCACAACCACTTTTTTTCTTGTGAAACACTTGGACATTTTTTGAACATGTGCAGAGAGGAATTTGAAGAAGGCGATTAATGTATATTAATAGTGGCAGGAATCACTATAATCTATTAATATTATGAACATTTTTTGTATCACACAGATCATAGTGGCAGGCGCTGGCAGGTTGCTTGTTACAACCTGTCATGCTGAGAGTTGAGGCCACAGATATGGAGAAGCTCGCAGAGGTTGACAAGGAACGGGTGCAATGGATGTACTGAGCCACATGACGTAGCACGGTCGCAGATTGAGATGTGATGTTTAGTATGTTTGTATTTATGCACATATGATACATCTATTATTTTGCATCTATACAATGTGATGAAATGAAATGCAATGCAATGTAATATATTGTATTCCATTGTATTGTGTTCTGATGCGATGCAATGTATTGTGTGCATTGACTTGCAGTGCTACTGCAGACATGTCCAGCTTGTCAAGCTGCATTGTTGCTCTTTAAAGAGATGGATAGTCTTGATCTTTCAATTCCAATCAGGGGCTCAAATAGTCCAAAGGTGTAGAAACCTCTGTAACAATTTGAGATGGTGGAGAGAATTTCCAATGTATCTGAACCGATCAGAGAGTACATCCCCAAATAGATTCAAATGTTGGTAAAATCCGCAAAGTGAACTGCAATAAAGTAGTTGGTTTGGCTTTACCCAGCCAACTGCCGATGTATCAATCATTTTGTCATGCCAGTTCTAAAAACTATGACCAGTTGGTTGAAAATCGGTTATTCAACATCCCCAGCATCCCGGTTCCACCGTTCTATTCGTTTTGATCCCCCATTTTTTGGGTGGTTCAACCAGTTTGCCCCAGCACCCCACCGCAGGCCCTGCAGGCGGGCGATGTCTACCGCCTCCAGGTCATGCTGAACTTACAGCCACAGGCGCTGTTAGAACGAGCTGGAGAAGGGGATGACTGGTATGACTTGGATGATTTGAATGATCCATTGGCTTATATATATATAAATATAATTATATTGATTTTTTAAAATGGTGATGCATGGATGATTTGGATGGGTACTCAAGGCTATTTTGGATGATTGAATGATTCAAGACCAACGTTTGGACTGCTGGCCTGCGAATTTCTTGGTACTTCTTGCAATGCTTTGAGAAGAGTGACTGGTTGTAGTGGATAGTTTGGATTTTGATGGATTTTGCTGATCAAGATGACACAGGATATTCGGAAGCCTGGCGAGGAGCAGCCAGAGGAGGACTGAGTGTTCTTGATCTAAGAGGGCGATCTAAACAGGTGGAACGGCTGACAAACCATGCTTGTGCGAGGAAGAGTACGATCCCTTCACAACAGCACCAGAAGTTTGACACTCAGCAAAAGCTTTTCCTTGCAATGACCGATCTCAAAACTACTTCGTATCAAACGCACACAGCAATGGAACATTCCAAACATCACCGTTGGGAAAGTTTGGAATCTACCAGGGAACGATCACTTGGGCAGCACAGACCTCCTGGTGCCAGTTGCAGCTGCTTCGTGGCTCAAAGAGCGCATCATGCTGTCTTTTTGAGCAAGACCTTGGATGGCACAGGCTTCAAATTCAGCAGTGCCCAACACTTCTGGTGGTTGATGATTACATGGGTTTGTACTAGTACATGCAATTGAAACTTCACTTGCTTGAAGCTCACATTGCTGAGATTTTTTTGAGAGGTGCCTTGTCTGCACAGTGTCAAAGCGCTGCTGCTGTTTTTTATTGCTTGGTGGCAGGTGATCAATGCTGTGACAGCAGGATTGGCGACCACTACTGAACTAGATGAGGCATCATTCTGACACTGTCACTATTCCCTTCCGGATTGTGTCTTTAAAACAAAATCCCTGGTCCAACCATCGTTGGCATTGTCCGCTATGAAGATCAGTAATTTGTGCTTGTGATGGACCTCGTGTTAGAGTCAACCTATGTACATATACATATATACGTATGTATATATATACTGTATATAATTTTAGATATATAGATGTATAAATATGTATATAATTGTATATATATATATATATATACACGGAAGGCCTTCGCGAAGTTCCTAGAGAGTCCCGGCTGGCGAGAACTGCAGACCCGAACGGCACGACGAATGTGAGCCTTGTCCGAGATTTGGAGCTATCAGTTCTGTGGATGAACTCGGAAAAAAAAAAAATCAAAAATGGTGATCGAATGGTGGATTTAACAAGCAAAACCTAGGAATTTATAATTTGAGTAGCCAGATTTGGATTTAAACCATGCAAAACTTTGATTTATTCAGCACACATTGGGATTTGGCCACCAAAGTTGGCGATTAAATGAGGCTTCACGATAATTTAATTTGGCTGTAAGGGGCCAATGGCTTCATCGCGGTACTATTAGTCGCAGCACTTTGGAGCCGCTGTGTGAGTCCAAGGATCATCTTCCGCTCAATGATTTTCAGTTGTTAACAAATCCGTATAGCTACAGCATTTGTTTTTGCGCTTTTGTCGCTGATTTCCGTGGTTTTGTCGATGCACATTCACATTTCGTGTCTGAACATCCAGGCAATGGAAAGTGCACATTTGGAGATGGTCTGATAGGATTCAACAAATTGGCTCCCCAGCCAGGTTAGATTATCCAATCCCTTCTGATTTGCCAGTTCAATCATAGATCCATTTTCTTACTGCTTTTCCACATTGTCATAGAATTGGATGATGGGAAAATTTACAGGAAACCCCTCAAAAATTGATGGTAAAAACACCATGGTTTCCGGTGAAGATTTTCCCAACAAAACCAATCCATTGACCGAGGCGATGGATCCTACACCTTTGGCGAGCTCTCAACAGATGCACCACCGCATCTGTGCCCTGGCGCCACAGGCGAAAGGGGTCCCCATTGTTTTTCAATGGGAGAATCAATGTGGCTTGTTGTTTTCAATTGTTTTTGGGGTAATCAATCCACATGAAACATATGATTTAAGAAGAAACAACAACATACAAACAACTATATTCCAATGTGTTGGATATTTTCCATATCCTACACGATTTTTGGGCCCTGCATCTTGGTCAGAATCTGCCCACTTGAGCCAAGGAAATTTGCTGAAGGCCTCGTTCAAAGGTTGCGGCTTGCATCAAAGCTCCTGCCATGTTTGTAGTCGTCCATGTTCCTGCCATGTCCATTGAATTTCATTGAAATATCTGAAGAGTGGCTGAACATAGTGGCTGAACATGGTTGAACCCCAGGAATCGGCTGAAGTGGCTTCAAACCTACAACTGGGGTGATTTTTGACGATTCCAGGAACGATTAATTGAGTTGATGATGAATGTTGCCTACCAAGGATCGGACACTTGCAGACAAGCAATCCAGGCAGCGCAATCATCCCCCTACAAGCCTTCCTGATCCTTGGTGTAGAAGAGTGACTCAAAACAATAATGCAATGCCTTTGCACAGGATTTTGTCAAGATGGCTAGGGTCAACATGGATTTTCCAGATGGACCCACAAAATGGGTCATTTTTCGTACTGAAAACCATACATTTTGCGGGTTGATTATTTTGACCCCCAGATTTCCAGGGAGATATTAGACCTCTGCCTGCCTTGTGAGGTGCCTGTACGAGGATGGGGAGGACTGAGCCTTGAAAGGCGGGAAGCTGAGACAAAAACCTATGAGAATTATGAGAATGTAGAGAGAGTCCGACTTCGTGTGGATTGGAACAACTTTTCCATTTTATTTATGTTCATCGGTTCATCGTCATTTTTTTTTGCACCAGCACGTGAACTTGGGTGAACACCGTTGGCCAGGACGCATGTCCAAATCACGTGCACGACTGTCGGCAGCTGACGCTCTCCTTGGGCGCTGAAAGGGAGGTGGTTGTGGAGGGGCAACGAATGATGATGAGGCGAGACCGGCGAAGCCTGTGGGTGCCAAATTGAGCAGTTTCAAAGACCCTAGGCCCTAGGACCCTAAGCCCTAGGACCCTAAGCCGTCACTGTGTATTGGACCCAGTTGAGCAGTTATTCAAGTAAGATCTTACCATCAATGATTTGTGTTTTTTTTTAACCATCAAACATACTCTATGGCGATGTAATTGAATGTAATTGATATATAAGGGTTGGTTATGGTTGGTTTACCACATATATTTTTCTGTTGGGGGGAATACTACAACCCTTTGTATGTAGAAGATTATTTTGATTAAAACTGGGACTCCCGGATTAAACAATCAACTTTTTGCATTTCAATGAGGTTTTGATTTCACTGCTCAATTGAGAGTTCCAAAGCCATAGACAAAGGGATGGGACGGGACACGTTCTTTATTGATCTCTATGAAACCAGCTGGTGTACCACCATTCAACTATCAAGATTGCTTAGTATGTGGTTAGTACATAGTTAGTAAATACCTTCTATCTACTCAGACATAGATGATACTGACAACACACCCCATGGATACACATATAGATGGAAAAACAGAGGTGGGAAGAGTCAGAGAAGAGAAGAAGAGAAGATCAGAGATGAGAAAGAGTCAGAAGAAAGAAGATGCAGGTGCGGGAAAAGGTAGAAAAGTCGCGATTCACGGTGTGAAGTTTCAGTATAACCATGGAATGATTTCAGGTAACGAAGCATGGTTCCGCATTTTCTTGCCGTAGTTACCAGATCACACATTATGCCGTGGTTCCGGCGTACTCTCTTCACTGTGTTTTTCCAATGATTTGTGGCTCCAGAGGGTCGAAAAGTAGGCTCGCTAAAGCGGCGGGTGCGGAGCCATCTGGGCAGATGAGAGATGAAAAATTGCACGCCGTTGTGGCACGAAGCACATTTGCAAGTCAAAATGTTAAAAGACCAAAGGTTCGGAGCACGTAATGTGGAACAAGTGCACACCATTGTGGCGCGAAGCACATTGCCAAGTCAAAATGTACAAAGCACACCAACGTTGGAGCACTTTTGGAAATTGAGATGTTGAAAAAGCGCACGACATTGTGTCGTGAAGCACATGTCGAAGTCAAAATCTACAAAGCACACCAGCTTCGGAGCACTTTTGGAAATTGAGATGTGCAAAAAGTGCACGCCGTTGTGGCGCGAAGCACACTTTTGGACGTTCAGATGTCGTTTTTGCGTGGCAGGCACAAGGGATTGTGCACCTTGTCAAGAGTGTTGGCAGGTGTGGGACATTTGAAGAGGATCTGCAAACATGCATTTCGCGTTGCAGGTGCAGTACAAGAGACATGTTCATCAGAGATGTTAGGAGGTCCGGGCGCTGATTTCCTGAGAGGGGTTGCATTTGGGAGCATCAGATCTTCAGGTTTGCTAAGATGATTTTGTGTGACACTTGCAGCACTTTGTATGATCTGGCTTTACTTTTTCGTGGCCCGCGCAGTACTTTAGGCAGATGGAGTGGAGAAATCGCAAAATGCATTGGTACGAGGCCGTGAGCTCTGTACTCACCTTTCCATTTTTGAAGGAAGTCTCGCAGAATTGTTTCGTTTTTGACGTTGTCAAGGTGGAAAATTGTGGACGTCTTGCAGGCTTGCTTTGTTTTTGACGTTGTCATCTTTGAACATTGAGGAGGTCTCGCAGAATAGCTTAGTTTTCAAGCTCGCAGATAGATAGATTAGATTAGACTAGACTAGATTAGATTAGATTAGATTAGATGAGAAACGAAACGATAGATAGTGAAACAGACAGACAGACAGACAGACAGACAGACAGAAAGACAGACAGACAGGCAGACAGACAGACAGACAGATAGATAGATAGATAGAAAGATAGAAAGAGAGATGAATAGATACTTAGACTGACGGATAGATAGACAGATAGAGAGATAAACAGATAGACAGATAGATAGACAACTACGACTACACTACGCTACGTTACAACTACAACTACCACTACACTACAACTACAACTACAACTTGAACCTGCACTTCAACAACACTACAGCTACAACTACAACTACAACTTCAATTTCAACTTCAACTTTAACTTCGCTGCAGCTACAACTACAACTACCACAACAATACACTACAACTACCATTACCACCACGGCTACAACTACAAGTACAAGTACAACTACCATTACCACTACGGCTACAACTACAAGTACAACTACAACTACACTGCAACTACAACTACAACCACTACTACAACTAGCACTGAACTACACTACTCTACACTACAACCACAACTACAAGTGCAACTGCAGCTACAACTACACTGAGCAACAGTACAACTACAACTGCAACTACAAGTACAGCTGCAACTACAGCTACAACTACAATTACCACTACACCTACAACTACAACTGCACTACAACTACAACTACAACTACAAATTACACCACACCACGCCGCACTACATTCAGCGGTTGTGGGTGAGGTGACCACTGCAACTACTCCAAAAGCACAGCTCCAACCACCTTTCGGTCCATCAGTGGAATCGCTCTGCCACCCATGCATCAGTAACAACTCACCTCTTCTATAAGTTTCCGATTTTTGAAACTTCCACCACCGCCTTGTGCGGTACTACTGGTATATATCTTTCTATTTTGTCAACCGTGGATGAATAAACTCTGGGGCTGTCTCATTGGGCAGATGTACACGGCGAATTATCACTGTTTGGGGGACGACCTCGCAATTAATCAACCAGGGTACTGTAGATGTTCATCCGGTGTTGACTTTGCCGGTCTTATCCATGGCCTTTCACACCTTAGTATTTCTACATGCCCATGACGTGTGGTATACATATATTTACATGAATAGATATATCCCAGGTATCTTCATATCCATACTCTGACTTTTTTCGCACTCCCAGAATCCCCTAAAAATCGTCGAAAGTTACCCAACAAACAACGAAAAAAGTGAAAATTCACATTTTTTCTGCATCTTAGGGGTTTACGACCTGCTCAGGCACGGCGATATCTTGGTGCTGGACGGCGAGCGGTACCTTGGTGCCGCCAGGGCGGCCATGTTCCACTTCGACGTTGACCAGAGGCTATGGTAAACATACCTTTTGAAGTATAAGATATTGTATGTTTAGCATCAACTGTAGAGTGATAAAATCATATGTATATATATATATACATGTGTACATGTTTCTGATATTTTGGATATTCAAATTATCCCAGTACCGAATGAAAACCATGATTTCATCCCACTGTGGAGTCTCAAAAACAACGTTTCCTGTCTTTTTTGACAGGTTGATGTTGACCCTTGAAGCAACTTCAACTTGGATGCCAGCCTCAAATACCTATGTTCCCTCGATTTTGAGGCACGGGGTGCCAGCGCAGCGGAACAGGCCAATGCGATGTGGGAGAGTCAGGGCTTGAAAAAAGCTTGAATAGCATCCGAAGCAACATTTTGGTTGGTGAATCAAGCTGGTTGATCAACCCCCAAATAGTTTAATGAACTCCTGATTTTCGTTGGTAAAACCCCGTTTTGATGAGAATGACAGAAAAGACTCCTTGAGAGTGTAACACCTTGACATTTTTCTTATGCAAATGGTTTAAATGGATCCATAGAGACCACCCGCACAGGTCCAGTCAGTCCAGGGTGTCCGTGAATATTTTTTTCACCACCGGCAGCGACCAAGCTTCAAGACCAGTGAGTGCAGCGTGGCCAAACGCCTTGGGCATGTTGGGATGGGGATGGAATGGATTGGAATACCCCACACACCTCCATTTTTCACGAACCAGATGGAAAACCCAATAGGGAAACCGGAGGAAATGATCTATGACTGGTGGATTGTCATGGATTTCCATATTTGTATTGATTCATTGGAGGGTATATAAATCCATTGGTTTATCATCATTTTCCCAATATTTTGAAATGGTCATACGAAGGGGGCGATGTCCTATTTTCAGACGGACGAGTTTGGAGGCAGGTCAAAACCCATGGTTTTCCACGAATGCCAGCTTATCTAGGTGTGAACCGACTGGTCTTAGGGTTTTTGACCGATCCCCATTTAATCAAGTTGGGGTTATTGGTATTGACCCACAGACATAACCTATTTATATAAAGTGGTTGTTGGTAGTGGATATTTGGAGATATGGAGAAGGGTCAAGATACATTATTTTCTGTATGAACGAGTGGATGACTATCCATGAATGCCAGTAATCATGTGAACACCGGGATGCCAGGTGTTTTGATCTTCGGATATCGGAGCAATGGTTGATGCCCCAACTAAATGGGAGGAGCGAAAGAGCTCACTTATCCCCAGAATCACTGGGCACCAAGGGTCAGCAATTTCGCCTTGGGGGTTCACCCCGGGAATCGTCCAGGAACGTGGATTATAATCTCAGTGACAAGCCTATTTACCCTAATCGAAGGAAGTTTAGAAGTCAAATTTCCGACAATATGGACAGATCGAAAAGAAGAGGTGGGAAGAGTCAGAGAAAAGAAGAGAAGAAGAAAGAAGATGCAGATGCGCGAAAAGGTAGAAAAGTCGCAATTCACTGTGTTTTTCTAATGATTTGTGGCTCTGAAGGGTCGAAAAGTAGGCTCGCTAAAGCGGCGGGTGCGGAGCCATGTGGCCAGATGAGAGATGAAAAATTGCACGTCATTGTGGCGCAAAGCACGTGGCGAAGTCAAAAGTGTTAAAAACGACGGGTTCGGAGCACTTTTGGAAGTTGAGATGCTGAAAAAGCGCACGCCGTTGTTGCGCGAAGCACATTTGGAAGTCAAAAGTGTTAAAGCTGAGGGGCTCGGATGATTTTTGGAAGTTAAGATGTGCAAAAAGTGCACGCCGTTGTGGCGCGAAGCACATTTCGAAGTCAAAAGTGTAATGGGTTCGGAGCATTTTTGGAAGTTGCGATGTTGAAAATTTGCACGACATTGTGGCGTGAAGCACATTTCGAAGTCAAAATCTACAAAGCACACCAGCTTCGGAGCACTTTTGGAAGTTAAGATGTGCAGAAAGTGCATTTCGAAGTCAAAATCTACAAAGCACACCAGCTTCGGAGCACTTTTGAAGGTTTAGATATGGTTTTGCGTGGCAGGTGCAAGGGATTCGGCACTTTGCCAAAAGTGAGGAAAATGTAGAGATTTTCTAACATTTCCAACAACGATGGCAGGCGTGGGGCATTTCAAGAGGATGTGCAAACATGCATGTCGCATGGCAGGTGCAGTACAATAGACATGTCCATCAGAGATGTTAGGAGGTCCGGGCGCTGATTTCCTGAGAAGGGTTGCATTTTGGAGCATCAGATCTTCAGGTTTGATAAGATGATTTTGTGTGACAGGTGCAGCACTTCGTATGACCTGGCATGACTTTTTCGTGGCAGGCGCAATACTTTAGAGACATGGATTGGAAAAATCGCACAACGCATTGGTACGAGGCCGTCAGCTCTGCTCAACTTTCCATTTTGGAAGGAAGTCTCCCAGAATTGCTTCGTTTTTGATGTTGTCAAAACGAAATTTGAGGAAGTCTAGCAGACTTGTTTCGTTTTTGACGTTGTCAAATTCAAAAATTGAGGAAGTCTCGCAGAATTACTGCGTTTTTGATGTTGCCAAGTTCAAAGTTTGAGGAAGTCACGCCGCAGAATAGCTTCGTTTTCAAGCTTGCAGATAGATATCTAGGTAGATAGATAGATGCAAAGATAGACAGACAGATGGCTAGATAGACAGCATAGATAGATAAACAGACACACACACATATATATGTATATAGACAGATGGATAACTGCAAGTACACTACACTATAACTACAACTGCAACTGCAACTACTACAACTACTACAACTACTACAACTACTACAACTACTACAACTACCTTACAACTGCAACTAGAACTACACTACAACTACAACTTCGACTACACTTCAACTACAAAAACTACAACTGCAACTACAACTACATTTCAACTAAATTTCAACTACACTACAACTACAACTACAATTACTACAGCTACTGCAACTGCAGTTACTACAACTACAACATCACAAATTCATGAACATCAACTACACTACAACTACAATTACACTACAACTACGACTACAACTACAACTACAATTACGTGGCACTTCGCTACCCACACTACATCCTGCAGCTGTGGGTGAGGTGACCACTGCAGCCACTCCAAAAATCACAGCCACCTTTCGGTCCATCAGTGGATTCGCCCTGCCATCCATGCATCGCAACAACTCACCTCTCCTACAGTGTCCTATCGTTGTAACTTCCGCCACCGCCTTGTGCGGCACTACTGGTTATGACTGAAATTTTAACCACACTTGCGATTCCTGGGGTGAAACACGAAGTAGACATGCATGGAATATGGACCCTAAGCAGGTTGCAAGAGAATGGTGGGAACTAGATAGATGAGGCCCCAGCCTTGTGTTTTGCAGAAGTGAATAGCACAAACCAGTGAGGTAAATCATCAAAAGGGTGCTGGCTATCAGAAACTTGGCCTCATTGTTATGCAATTTGTGTGTTGTTACAACTCTTTGACTGAAGCATGAGCTGACGCTTTCATGGGTTCATACTAGTTATGTTCCTCCCATTTTTCTGGCTACAAAACCGATCAAATGTCATGTCCAAGGAGATCTGGTGGTGGCAAAGGACGGGGAAAGAGCAATGGAGACAATGGACAGGGCCAGGGCAAGGTTCTTTAGTTGCAAGAATTGGTTGGCAGCTCTGGCAGAAGACCTTTGTGGTTGTAACATGGGGATCAGTCAATCTTTATGGGATGGTCTGGCAAGGTCGGACAGCCAAGAGAAGGCTATCGCAATCGTCACTCGACGGCAGGTATGTGGGGATGGCTGAAAAATCGGTTGAACATTTTTTTTGGAGATAGCACATAAGTTTACCATCTATTTTTGTGTTCACCAGGGGGTTAATTCATAGTCATATTCTTCGATCCAGAAAACATGAAGGCAACCTGTCAGATGACATCAGTCTGGCCTGCAATCTTAAGGTTGGAACCACAGAAGGCAGGACTGAGAATGGCTTGCAGATCCTGCAGTTGGCGGTAGGGCCTGATCACCAACTTGCCGGATGCATAGAGGCCAGAGCTTTTGGAAGACTTCTTTTGGTGCGATTGGTCCTGTCGGAAACCAATGAACTCTCGAGTTCTAATTTCCACTGGTTGAAATTGATACATCCACCTTTTCCTTGCAACAGCATGGACTTCTGTTCGAGGATGGCAGAAGCATGGCCTTCAACAGCTCGAGCTCCATGGAGCACCTGGATCTCTGGGCCTGGATAAAACCCGGCGTGGCAAAAAGATGCTGTGCCCTTGCAATGGTCAAATGAAGAATGCAATAGGCATCACATGACATCACGATTGTGCGCTGCACTGCCAAGCTAGGCGATCAGAAGAGAACAATCTCAAATCTTGATAGACTATTCTACAAAAACTCGATATTTTGTGTAAACTAACAAAGATATGAAAAACTTGTCATTTATAGACTATTGTAGATTTTTATGAGCTTTCCATGGCCTTTCTATATCTATGATAGTTTAACCCCAAGGTAACAGTGTGTAACAGTAATGCCATTCTCTTTCGATTGTGTTTGCCCAGCAAAGAGCACAAGGGTGAAGATTGAGTCAAGGGCTATTGCCTAGCGGCGTCCCGGCGTCCCGCTGAGGAAGAGATTCAAAAGCCAAAGCCAAAGAAGCTTAAGGCAGTGGCTGAACCTCTGCCTTCGATTCCATGAGTCTTAGAGAGTCTTGGGGGATGGTCAATCTATATTTTCTCAGGATTTACCCACAATTCCCATGGACTCCGCCCCATGGTAACTCGACCGCACATGACATGTCGCCTGCAAGGCCAAAAAGTCGAAGAAAAGAAACGCCGAAGCCCAGGATGGGCACCTTCCAGCGAAATCTTCCAGCGAATCATCATTTTCCCCATCTTTTTCGCAGCCATTTTTTTTGGGCTTAGTGGTGAAATCTACTGGTGAATCATCATTTTCCCATATTTTCCCGGGTAAAATAGCAGACTTTACTAATCATGCGCCAGGCGACGCCCGGATTGGACAGTTTGCAGCTCGCGAGCCTAGCAATGCCATGTGCAGCAATAATCAATATGTCAATAACAGAAGATCCATAGATGGGAAATATCCCATTAATACTCATTATAATATGGATTATAAATTATCCCCATTCATGGATTAATGCATCCTATAGTTGAGGATAATGAATTAATTGTCCCATGAGTATCCCATCAATTCTTGGGCATGATCACCTTTTTTTGCCGTTTCCATTGAACCGAAAACTATAGATATTCTTAGCTTGGAGATGAAGGGCCACTCACCAGCGCGTCAAATCTGGGGATTCACCATGGATCAACGCTTGAGTCAGTTCGCCTTAGCTCGACTTAGTTTCAGGGACGCCAGGGACGCTCCGCTCCGAGGTCTGCCTATGACGCAAGCTCCGAGGAAGGAGTGCCTGGCAAGAAGAAACGAACGGCGAGCAACAAGGAGCACGGAGTGTCATTGGATCCAACTGGAGTTTGTGGTGTGGTAAACCCTGGCTGCCATAGACAACTACCATGACTGGGGATGGTTGAATTCCCAACCATTGTTCAATTGGTAAGCAGTTTGGGAGGGTTTGTGGCTTTGAGTCTGCAACAGTAGATGAATTGTGGGTGATAGGGATCGATTATGGAGTTTATGGGGCCCAGTTTCGATAAATCTATGTTTCAGGAAGCATCCATGGTCAGCCTGTGTTGTTTCTTTCCTGCGCCCCAAACGAAAGCAGCAGATGTTTCATGCCGGAGTTGCTGACATTGGTGCACAGCAAAAGGATTGGCAAATGGCGTTCATGCCCTGAACATGGTACTTGCATTTACTAATCCAGAGCCATGTACCAGTGTTCTTTTTTAAATTTGGTGCATCATCTTGTTGGTTATATGATATATATATATATACAATATATATATATTATCATCCCATTAATATCCCATTAATACCCATTAATATCCCATTAATACCCATTAATATCCCATTAATACCCATTAATACCCAATTAATAGTCCATCAATATCCCAGTATGCCACCATTTTTGACGCGTAGATCAGCATTGTTGTTGGTCAAATTCCCATCAATCGCCATCCTTCGTTGGTTGAATCCAAATTAATCCAAAATTTTCGTGGTGAAATCCAAGTTTATCCCAATTCTTGTTGGTTAATTTCTCATTTTAATGGCCCAATCCCAGCCGCGAATCCTGTCGCCAATCCAGGAGCAAACCTTGGCCTGGCCAATGGCAGCCCTGCCATGTCAAGCAGCATATCATGCTTTTTGGTCTTGAAAGACTTCAAACAAACCATACATTCTGGATAAGCAAATGATAATGACCTCACTGTGACGTCACTGGAAGCGGAATCCTCCCAAAATGGCGCAACTTTTCAGGCTTGCTTCCGCGGGGGGCAGCAAACTGAAGACGTGTGGCCAACCTTTTGAGGTCAACTATAGTATTGATCCAGAATAGTTGAAAGTTGATACTATAGTTGATTGGATAATATTATAGTTGATAGTATCAACTATTCTGGATCACCATATACTATGAATTGATTGGTAATAGTTGATACTATAAATATTACCAAACCATCCAAATACTACAGTTGATTGCCGATTCCCAAGATTTTGATGATCATCTCCCCATGGTTCGGGGATGTCCCCAGGTTTGATGACACCATTGCGGGTATGACCACTTACGAACTATTAACAAATCCCTGTAGAATAGTTAATAGTTAATAGTTAATAGTTAGTAACTTAATAGTTAATAGATGTTAATAGTTCATAGTCAACTAACTGTAGAATACCAGTTGCCAGTTAACTATTAACAATAGAATAATTCACCAATGAAAACCAACCTTCGCCGATCTCCGCCAGAGCTGGACCTGGTTGCTGAGCCGGACTCAGCAGCATCCCGAGTTCCGAGCGCCCGCGGCTAAGGTCCCATGGGTTTTTCACCATGAAAAAAGGAGCAACAACTTGGGTGAATCAGCTCCAACTCATGACTTAGTTGAAGAACCCCAACTCCAGATTTTTATTGTTTTGTTAGACATGCAGATATTTGGGATCGATGTAAGACATGCATATGTTTGAAATCCTATTGATTTGTTAGACTGCCAGGGGTATTGCTACTGGAAATGCTGTTGGCTGACAACGATAAGGAGAAACACCAGAAGCTGATGGGATTTTCTGGAAATGAAGTGCCTGACTCCAAAACTACACTGCAGAGTCAGACAACCGAGTTGACAACTAGTAGATAATGATGATTTGATCCAGGTATTGTTTGGTTTAGTTGACTGCCCTAGGCCAACGATAGCCTCGGGTACCAGATGGGCTGAGGAAGCTGCACAGTCAAGCTGTTTGTGAATTGCCTTGAGTTATGGAAAGAAACGATGAGATAAAACTTGCTGTCCATCTGTTCAAGGAGGAAAGAGACTTCCATGCTGGTTCCGGGTGGAGTGAAATTGTATAGGCCTAAATGGGGCCCCCAAATTTTCATGGTCCTCACTTCATTTTCAGTCCCTTATTGGCGGTTTAACATTAGGGGGGAACAGCCCATCTGACCGGCATTGTATTTGAGGAGACCGACAAACCAGAAGATGTCCAGCAACCCTTGGCAGCTTGGCCTGAGGATTTAGAGAAGATGTGATATATATATATATATGTATATATATATATATATGTACGCATTGTATATCTATTTGTAGAATATACATGTAAGGTTCCTCAAACAAGTGCATATGGTCACAAGGGCGTCATGTATATATATATACATACATACACATACATGCATGATTTCATCGAAATTTCATCGAGAATGTATATATATATATATACACATACGTATATGAGGTATACACACATATGTATGCTCCTGTGCCCCGTGTTCCATCCCCCAAATGGTACGGTCCCCACACTTCCCCCTCAAACCTCCATTTGCACACTCATTTGCAGCACTTGGGAGCCATAGCCTCCCATTTGCAGCATTTCGGACCCACAGCCTGCCAACAAGACCTTACATACTACCTATATACTGCATGTCACACGTACAACTAATCCCTACAATCATACAAACTATCTCCATACTGTTGTTGTTGTTGTTGTTGTTGTTGTCCCCCAGCTTATACTATACTTGTACACTCCTTACGCTGTATACCTTATCCATATATAGCCTGTGCACTGCCTATATCACATACTCCTTGTTTACTGGCTCTAAACACTACTCACCACCCCCTACTCCCACCAAAACCCTTAAGGGGGAGGGGTAGTACCTCGATACTCCCTATACACTCTCAATATACTCCCTATATACTCACTATGTCACTATGTCATATGCACATAGCTGGGGCGAGAAACAACCCGCTTCCTCCTTGTGATCTGCAGGCCGTGGCCATTGCGACCTCTTTGGTGTATGTGCCCTATGGAGAGTTGGGCGGAGATGTTGGCTCTAAAAATCGATGGATGTGTTGGGGGGATAAACCCTAAACCATACCTCGGAGATCATAAACGACATTGGTATCAATGTTGGGGTAACATCATCTATCATTGGACTTTGAACAAAATGGGTTTACAAATTGCACCATTTAAATGTGGGCAATTGGGACATTGTGGAGATCATCATCAACAACCACCTGAAACATGGTGCTTTGAGCATCTAATTTTTTTTTTTTCACCTGCCAAAATGGAGATTTAGCCATCAACCTGAATGAATGATGGACAAGATTTGTTTCCCCGAAAATTGGAGATTCATGAGAAACTATCTTCCTGACTTTGTTGCCACAGTACACTTGAATGGAACTGGATATGTCCGAAGCTTGAGGATTGAAATATTCATAAGAATCGACTGCCGGAAATGGGCAAAGGGCGAAAATTTGACCCCAACATATTCACAAGAAAAGGGCTATCAGAGTTTATTCTGAAACCGAAACCTTGTGCATTTCGAGGTGCTAAATTTTCCGGATTCACATAGCTAGGGGCATCATTGCCGCATATTTTTGACTCATGGACTTTGACTGATACCAATATCAACCCTGATCAACAAGCCGTGGTTGATTCATCAGGCGGGTAAAGAAGTGGTGCCCCCGAATTTCTCAACCAGCGGTTTTTTTCGACTGACCATTTGTTAATCAAAGCTGACCATGGAAATTTCCTCATTTATAGATGCATTTTTCCATTAAAGCCTCCGCTAATAGGCGACTTCCCGTTTCCCATGTTAGAATACCGAAGGGTAAATTCCATAAATCAACTCTATCAACCATTATCAACCACTATTAACCGTTATTCAGCATTTATAACCATGAACTAGCAACTATTAATATCTATTAACCATTATTTTCATCCGTATGGTCCTTTATATTGCCAGGTTGGAAATCTCGCCAGCGGCTATGATTCCAGACACCTGGCACGAGTCGCTGCGGTGGACGAGAAAGGTACGGACCGCGGTGATTTTGGTGCGGTGGACCGCTGGGGCGGACGGGTCAAGTTAGCCTCTGGTAAACTAACATAGCTATTGAAAATGGCCATTTATAGTGGATTTTCCCACTAAAAATGGTGATTTTCCATAGTTATGTTAGTTTACCAGAGGGTAGCTATGAAATGAGCAACTGGGGGAAGAAACATCCATAACCCCGCTACAAAATAAAGTGTACCATAAACTGGTCACAGGGTTGATATGGCATAGCCAAAATTGGCAGCCATGGTTTTTCACCAGAAATGGGTGGAAATTTCTAGCAGTGTGCATTACAACTAGATGCTGGTTGGGGATATGACTCCAGCAACTTTCTGGTTGGCGGTTGCAAATATTTTGATGTTCCCCCGATGGGAGGACTATCCCAATTTACAAATATGTTTTGGATATGTTGATGCCACAAACCCTTCATAGTTGCTGCTCAAATTGCCATCAACTCTCGGAAAACTTTTATGTCACGTTGTTCACTTTCAACCTCCTTCAACATTAGAGGTTTGTTTGAGAATGGGACGTGCACTCCCCATCTTACGGGCATGAACAAAGTGGGGGAATTCTTGATTAACCACGGGATGGAACGGGGTTTGACCAGGAATAGGGTACTGCGGTATACACCCCAAATGACTATTTTTACTTGAAAAACGGTGATTGAGTCCCAATTTATTGGTCGCACCTTTTTTTTCAGACAAGCAATATTCCTCATTCTTCCCCATTAATATCATCCCATTATCATCACTATTAAACCATATTAAACCGTATTAAAACCATATTAAAACCATCATTCTTCCCCATGACCGTCTTCGCCAAAAAACGTCGCCCTTTTTGTCGAAGGCGAGATTCTGCTGGACCTTCACGTCAAACCGCGCAGCAAGTTGCTGGACTGTCGCACGCACATCACTGGTATCAAGGAAGAGGCACCAGTGATTTCACAAATTCCCCGGTGGGCCATAAAGGGGCCTAGGTATTTGTTGATTTACTATGATTTACTGTGAAAATTCCCCATTGTAGCCCTGTTAATTAGCGGTGAACTGATTTTCCACGAATTTGCTGTGAATTCCCTGGTGAATTTATAATCAGCTTTCATGAATTGACCTATAACTTGTCATTAACTCCTCATTAGTTCCACCGCCTGTTGAATCCCCAGTAGGCCTATATATATTCACCACCAAACGATTGTTATTACTCTGTGATTGGATTAATTGGTAAACTCCAACCATAGTTTGTTGGTCAATCCGATTCAAATCGCCATTCGTCCCTGTTGATCTCCTAATATTAACTCCTCGGTAAAATCTCCATGAATTGCTGCTTGTTAGATCCCATGTATTCACAAGTTTGATGGTGAACTCACCGTTGAAACGATGGTCAAACCGACATCTTCAATGAATCCAGAGTTTTAATGCTTAGATCCCAAGGTTTCATGGCGAAATCCCCATTTTTTTTGAAGTCGAAATCCCTAGTTTTCCATCCTGAAATCAGTGAAATCTGGCAGTTTTTTCAGGATTTTTTCGGTAAAATCAACCGATTCATCCAGAAATGCGCTATAGGCGCTCCGTGAGAGCTTCGGAGCGGTGACCTTTGAGGAGGTGCAGCAGAAATTGCTGGAGCTGCTGAGGCGGTTCGCCGTGGGTAGGTATGAAATGGGGGGTATGTCATGGGTAAAACTATGGTGGAGTGGAAATTTTCATAGTTTTAGCCATAGTTTTAGCATTGACCACAGTTTCAATTTCAATAGTTTTAGCCATGGTTTTGCTAATTTATATATCCACTGACAAATTTACCATTTTATTTGCTAAGATTTGATTTAAAAAACCATAGATGGTGTGTAATGCGTTTGAAAATGGGTAAATTTGTCTATAATTTGTCTATAGTTTAAAATTGCCAAACAGTTTACTGTTAAAGTTCTCAATTCTTTCTTAAATAAGTGTCCAGCTCTGTCCAGGTCGTGGTGTCCGGCTCTCCCGATGTCTCCAATTCATTTGTCTCCCCATCTAGCAATTCAGATATTTATTATACAGTCACATACATATTTGACCAAAATCTAGCGACCTCATCGCACATGTATATATATATATGTATACGTGTATATGTGTATATATATATATGCTTGTATAAATAGATATAGATGGCTGGATAGATAGATCCATAGATCGCATTGGAGCAGGAATGAAAGGCCGTTGCCAGTAATCATCCAGTTGGTTCAGGATCAATGCCAGTTTCAACAAGACCAAAAACGCAACTTCAGAGCATGCTATCAATGCATATCAATGCGATAATGAATCCAAAGGCGTTTTTTAAAATTGTTATTCCAGTAAAACAAGTGACATACTAAAACTGGTATTTGGAAAATTGTAGTGGTGTGATTGTATGACCGGCATGATACGATTTTTTGGCACTGGCTCAAAATCAGTAACGACCCTCAACCATGGATGGTTTCAGATCCAAAAAGAGTCCATAAAATGGTGTATAGCCACCCCCTCAGAGAAACATATCAGGTATCACTATTTGTTCTCTTTTTCTTGTTTCTCTTTTTGGGGATTGCTACAAATCATCCAGATTATCCCCATTATATCCCAACACTGTTGTTGGTTTACTTGAATGTTTTTTTTTTCATGGTTCATAACCCCGAAATATCGCAGTATTACTATCCAATGTTACAAAAAACAGCGATAACCATTGTTATCCCCTGATCATCTCATGATTATCCAATTATCATTTCATTCGTATTCCATGGTTATCCAATTATCCAATTTTATACCATTATTATCCAATTATACCATTATTATTATCCAATTATAGGATGATTATACCATTATTATCCAATTTTTATGGCTTCATAAGCCCCATTTTGTGACTCACCTTGTGTGGGGTTGCAGGCCGCGCACCATCCTGGTGGGGCATCGCTTGAGCAGCGATTTGGAGGCGGGGTTGATGGGTAGGGATGGAGATAGTTGTGAAGTGCCTTAGGCCTACTTCTAAGGCTTCAACATGAAAAACCCGAAAACTCATGCGAAACAAAAGCCACACTGAAAAATGCAAAAAAAGAACAAAACGATACAAAACGACTATTTTGACAAAACTAAAAAATGCAAAACAACATGGGAAAAAACGAAAGACAAAACACATCCAGTATACATTTGTATGTGGCATATGTGGCTGCCCTTTTTTGTTTCTTTTGTTTTTCTGTTTCGTTTTTTTTTCTGTTTTTCCTTTCGCAGGTAACCTGGTGACCAGGATCTTGAAAATGAAAAAAACCTGAGGAACAAAAACGTACAAAAAAACGAAAACACAAACTGAAAATGCGAAAAAACAACGGAAAACACCGAACAGAAAAAGACCACATAGGAATGGGTGTATTGTTTTTTTTTGGGTATTTTTGGTTTTAGTTTTGTGCTCTTCTGATTGTTTTTTTTCCAAATTAGGTTTGGAGTAGGTTTTGTTTTTGTTTTGATTTGGTTTTAGTTGTTTAATTCATTCTATGTGTTTATCATTTTATAGAAGTTGCTTGTAAACCGCATCACAATGATATATATATATGTATATACACATACAGACATACATACATCCATTTGTCCTTTATTTTTCAATCACATAATTCATTCAATAATCATTAACCTATTGATTTACTTATTCATTTATTTATCTTTTTTTTTCCATTAGGCATAGAATTTATTTATCTACTGATATATTTACTTATTTACTCATTTACTTATCTATTCAAAGACTTGACTCACATCTTTTAGTGCATTTTAAAGACAACTGCAGATTTTTTGTTTTTCCAGGCATTGCAGCTCTTTCACGGACCCTTGGTTGATGTTGCTTTGCCAGATCCTCAGGCGATGGCAAAAGATACCAGAAATCATGGTTATCCAGGGGAATATCCAGATAGGCAAGTTATAATCATTGATAGTCACAATAGAACCAGAATCTATGATGTATAAAACCAGTAATATCATTATTAACCATAATATAACCCTGCTATAGGGTATACGGGTTACAACCCAGATACTGGATCGGACCGCCGGTGGATTTTCTTCATTTTCATCCTGTCTCAAAATGAGGAGTTCACAGAAAAAATGGGATGATTGACGTTTGGCGGAATCATTTCCTGGGAAAGACGTGCTTCTGTGGAGATGCTGTGAGCATTTTTTTCGCTCAGGTTGTTTGCTGTGGACACGCGCAAAAAGCCCTGTGCTTAGAGACACAACTTTGTGGAATTCAGAATGGCCTTCGGCAGCATTTCTCAGATGTCAGCCACAAACTTTCTGGGAATCACCAGGTACCAGTACCATCCGCTTCGATACATTGGCGAACAGGTGCTCTTGATCGCTGTCTGGCGCTGAGGGCGGGAGTCATTTTTTGTGGGAAAGCCAATGATCAACCTACCATTTGGGATGGTAAACATAGCACCAATAAAATGGTGATGACTTGGGGATGGTTTCTGGCAATGGGTTTACCAGTTTACCACATCATATGGAATCCATTTGTTGGATGATTTTGTGCCCAAAGTATAGTCGATATTGAATCATCCTAATCTAGGCTTGATAAATTCATTGTCCCATGGTTACGGTTGTTGGTTTCACGCCCATTTTTCTGAATTTGGAGCCAGTTCTAGCCAGTTCTAGCCAGTTCTAGACTTCTGACCCATACCCTCTGGTAAACTAAAATAGCTATTGAAAATGGCCATTTATAGTGAGTTTTCCCAATAAAGAATGGTGATTTTCCATAGTTATGTGGCAGTTTACCAGAGGGTACCCATCATGGGGATTTGGTTGTTGCGAACACCAAGACCAAACCTGAAGAAGTGGAGTTCCAACCGCAAGATGCCGTGGACTCCGCTCGGCTTGCGATGAGGCAGTACACATATCTGAAGCCGTTCATGTTGGTTGATAGAAAACCCATCATTTTGGCCTGATCCATTCAAGTATGTGTATATATAATTATATATATATATATATTACAGCATTTTCAAATTATCTTGTATTACTCTATATATTTCTAGTGAAACTTGAAATGTGAGCCCCGTATTCGGCAGATTGGGCAGGCTAGCTTTGCATGAATCCACTCAATCAGCTTGGAAGCCCAGCCTCTGCAGCCTGCGCTAGTTTCTGATCTGTTAAGATGAAAGGAGAATGTACAGGGCACAGTGCAGAGTATTACCCACTCTCAAGTTCCAGCTATTGAAACTTCCGTTGCGTGAGTTCTGGTCTCAGTTGGCTAGGGCCAAAAACGGTTTACTCACCAAAGATTGATTATATATATATATATACACACAATGTTTCTTCAAACACGTGCCACAGATTCTTTAGGGCCCATTGGGGTTCGACTCATAAATGCATATCAGCCCAAATATGATGGTTTAGGACTCCGAAAAAAGGTTTGTTTATCATTTACAATTCTGGGTAGTATTTGGAAATTGACCTGTTTGTCCAGGCTTACTCACCTTTTAAGTCTCCAGGATTTAACTATGAAATTTTGGGGTTACAAAAAAAATCGGTCCAAAGCCCTGACATTTTCAAAATGGGAGAATTGCAGGAGCTAACCATAGTCATAACCATGAGGCTCCACTTTCTGAATTGCCTAGGTGCCAACACCCGCCTTTCCTCCACGGGAAGGCAGCGGACGAGAGTTGGTGGCAGGAAGCTCTGGACTGGACTCTGGCAGGACCTCTGTTGGTGGCGAATGTGATTCTTGACATTCTTGACATTCTTGACATTCTTGACATTCTTGACATTCTTGACCAAGAAACGCAGTGAAACTTCCGGAACAATCCCAAAATCCCTGGTGCTTGAATGTGCTTAATGGGTATATTTGAAGGTATTTACCCTTCAACATGTGGGGTGTGAGCCAATAAAATATATAAGATACGACGGAAGTGATGCATCACGCAGCGTGCTACAAAGTGGTTGAATTCGGATCTAAATTGTCAAACTGGGAATCCTGCCATCAACCACAGGCCGCCCAATCTATAAACCAATTCCAACCCTGGTCCTTAGCAAGCAGCTGAGTTATTCAACGGTTGCGATTTTTTTGGATGCACATGACCAAAGCTAGTGGTAGCTAGCTGGAGTTTATCTTGTAAAGCAAGGGATGGGGAGCTCTCAGTCCAAAACAGTGATTTCTCACTTGAAACCCCCAAGCTTCCGTCCGGAGTTCAGAAGCAGATGATCGCGGGCTCAAATCCTCCAAGGGGGTTGGCGAGACCTGCATAAATCCTTTTTTGCAGATGCCGAAGCAAACTATTATGCAACTTTGGGTTGCACTGCATCCTTGTTCCTTCCAACTAAACCAGATTTAGCCCACCGACCAACTCTTCTTCTTTCCTGTTTCCATATCTCTATGCCTGCTTTCCTACTACCTCTTCCTTACCCATAGCTTCGGTCCACCCCCCTGAGCCTCAAGTCCACTTAGGGATCCCCAAGATGCCGCATGGGCATGGGTCAAAATCAAACGCCAACAAAATTGGTAGGTGAACATCCCAAAGCAGAACTATGCACTATGCATTAAATACATGCCAAGAAAAAGAAACAGTTGGAAAAAAAGTAGTTATCCGAATAAATAAACAAAACCATGGAAATACGATAACCACGAGGATTTGAGTGTTTTTGCATTTGGAGCGGCAAATTTGGTGGACCTAGGTTCGACACATCCCTGCAAGTTTGTACCTCAGGCGCGCCGTTTCCAGTGCTCCGTGCCGTTCTCCGTGTAGTGCTCAGGTTGGGGCAAGGAAGCTGCTCTCAGATTGAGCAAAGTCTTGGGAGTCGGAGAGGCAGCTGGGGAAAGCAAGTGATGATGAATGGCTACTTGGTGGTTCACCCCAGTAAGTGGGTTATTAGCAGCGCAGTTCTAAGTAGGGGGAGTCAGGATTTGGTCCAGTTGCAACTGGGGTTATCAATAACCCACGTATTAGCTGGGGTGAACTCCAAGTAGATTCATAGGTCAGTTTTGATCGTCACACCCAAATCTTTGTTCATGTCCCAATTGTTGGTTTCATAGTCCACTTTTTTGACTGATGTCCATATTGGTTTGCTAGCCTACCCATTCCTGTTGATGGATCGCCCATTCTTGTTGATTAAGCCTCCCATTCGTGTTGGCCGAAATCCCAATTTTCGTACATCAGCCCTCAAAATGTGCCACTTAACCCTTGCACTTTTGTTAGCTGTTAGTGAAATCCAGATTTTCGGTGGTTCTTTCCAATCTTGTTGAAGCCTTCGGTTTCGTTGCTTCACCCTGAACTTTGCGTGATTATTCTCCGTTTGTGTTGCTTAATCATGCTTAATCCGCGTTTTGTTCGTTCAATTAAGATCCCATTTTACCATCATTTTTGTTGCTTCAATCCCCATGAATCAATTTTGTTGGTCAATTGGTCAACTCCACATCTTTTGGAGTTGATAATGGAGGGACCAATCATAATTGGTCCAGCAGCATTTATCTCATAATTCGAGCCTTAAATTTACCACTCTTTTAGTTTTCCCAGCTACAAAATGGTGATTTTCCATAGTTTTTTCTATGTTTACCAGAGGGTACCACATTTTTTGAGGGATAATCCGAGAGACCCAAGGCGCCGACGCCCATTGACTTAACTTGCCAGGTGCAAGTCCGTTGGATCCTGAACGATCTCGACCCAAGTGACTGGAGGGGGGAGGCAGGCCATGGTTAACAGGGAGGACCATAATGGTCATTCATGGGGATTAATGGTGATATACTGGTTAGTAAGAAAAGCATATCTGGATGAATGGCAAGAAATAAGGAGGTAAAGTCACTGGAATGGTGCTTAGGTTTATGGGAATCATCCCTAAATGTCCGCACGTTTCAGCTATTTTGAGGTTAGTGAATCATCATTATTGAGCCATATTATTTAGACGAGAATTTATCCACAAAAAATTGGGACTTATTCCAGAAGAATAGGTATTCAATCAACAAAACATGGGATTTCTCACAACCAAAGCTGCGCTTTGACCCTCACCAAAATGGGGATTTCAACAAGCCAAACATTGGATTCGAAGCAACAAAATAGCTAAATACCCCTTTTTGGCCCATTTTCTGGATGAACATCCATGTGGCAGCTATTCTCTAGGATGACCATAGCCACATCAGGTGTTTTGATTTTGGAATCGGTGATAGAATTGGAGTCAACATCTGCGATTTAGCATCCAAAATAGACATGGAAGATTGTACGATTGTCTCTTTCCAGTTGGAGATGAATTGTTTGGGCAATTTTTGACCCATACCCAAACAAGCATTCAACTCGCATCCACTATACTTGATAACATCCACATTATGGATTTCAAAACCCATCATGTGGTCTTGCTGGATACTTGACAACAACTATATATGGCTAGGGGTCGGTACCCTTCTCTTCACACCAAACTCGCCGGCATGGATATTCAGCCCATGGAAAAATCATCATCAGAGCTCCATTAAACGTCACTAAACCCCGCTGAACCCCCATTACTTCATGGTTAAACTTACTCATGATGATGATTTTAGGAATGGATTAACATCATTAAACCACTATTAAAAAAACAAACAAAGTTTTTTGTTTGCAGCTTTCGACCGTGCTGCAGGCGGTGATCTTTTTTTCCCATTCCGACCAGCGAGACGACGTCTTCAAAGCAGTGAAGGGCCTCACGGACTGCGAGAAATCCATGGGGTATGGGCTTTGGAATGGGAATTTCAGGGGTAAATACATTATTATTATTGTTATTATTATTGTTATAGTTATTATAATATACGTATGTATATATATATATGAATATTGATATAAGTAAATATGTTACTTTACTGTACATAGAGTGGGATTTGATTAAGTCCTTCAATCCTTCAAGTCCAATATGGGAGCGCGATCCCATCAAGGATGTTGGGATGTTATCAGCTATCCCTTCTTCTCACAGAAACCACACTTTTTGGATGGTAAATTCGTCAAGAAACAAGGGCAAAGCCATACATGCTTTGTTTTGAAACTAACAGTATTCCAATCTTAAACTAGAATGTGGAAACGCGATATGGATTTGTCGGAAACGAGGGAGCCAAAAATCCGCTGAATCATCATATTTCCCCAATTTTCCCCTTTTGCAGTGGTCATTATGGGGGTACTGCCTATTTTCAGACATATCCTATCATATCCATAATGGTAGATATCTCCACTATCATCCCATGTTGGGTCGCATCATTTTGGGGTCGGAACCAGGACGTTCACGTCCAGTGGGAAGATGCACCGAATGCTCCTCCCCTGGGTGCTTTCTTGTCCGAGCAGGCGCCATCGGAATCTGAATAAACCAGCAGAAAGATGTGGATTTCAGCTTGTATCTACAGGTTTCCTTAAAGATGTGGATTTTCAACGGAAAAACCTTGTATTTTAGATGCCCCAACTCTGAAAGTGTCAGGCGAATAGTAATTTACAGGCCTAGACTTTTGATCCGTGAAATCGGCAAAAAAGTCGATCATATTGCTTTTAAGGAATGACGGGAGATCCTGTGTGATGGAAACCATGGCTGCAACATTTCCCACTCCATGAGGGGCTAGGTCCAAGTACTTTTATTTGCTGATTGCATCAATATTTTGCTGCTTACTCTCTGGTGATCAAACATGGCTTGCTGGAAAATCCCATAGAATCCCATAGATATAGATGCAATTCACACTAAAACCTTGATTTATAGGGGATTTTCAATTGCCATGTGGCAGTGTGTCAAAACCTTGTACCCCTGGTGAACATCAAAATAGCTGGTAAATGGATGTTCATCCCACTAAAAATGTATCTATAGGTATTGGTCCATAGCCATGTGGCTGATTCCCGGAGGGTTTTTGTCTCATTTTGCCAGTTCCCGGCGCTTCCAGCCTCACGGCAGCGGGATCATTCTCGCCAACGGTAGGCCCTTGTGGAAGCCTTTTCCAGATTTGGTTCGGACCTTGACGTCCTCGGCAGGTGCAAGACATGAGGAGTTTGCCAGGAAATGAAACCTAGCCGAAAAAGACATGTTTTTTGATTGTTTTTTGATTGTTTTCAACCATTCTGATTTTTTCCAAATCCAAATTTCAACGTTTAGAGCTTTGGAATGGCTTGAAAGCAGTCGTCATCTCCCCGGATGAGTTGCCGCTCCAAGGCATGGTGGTTTGCCCGAAGCTTGGAGCAGTGCTGTCGCTGCACATGCAAACAACGAGCAAAACAAATCAAAACACCAGGTACATCCGTTATCTGTTGTGACTCTCTATTTGGTATTTGGTATTACATTGTGTTACTATTGTTGTTGTCGTTGTCGTCATCGGTATTGCCATCATTACTATTGCTACGTTCTTCTTCTTATTGTTGTTGTCATGGACCATTGGTGTTCATTCATTGTGTATGCTATAATTTTCGTTCTCAATATAATCATGATTATTACTAGTACTATTATTGCTACTTTATGAAGATTATGAAGATCATTGTTATTGACCTTGCAATATGACACCGTTTGTTTCCCACATTCCTAGCAGCCTCACCCAGATTGGCCCAGGCGCGCGAATACCCCGGCGCCCAACGACTCAGGAGCCGATGCTTGGCCAATGGTTGGGGATATTAACATTTATCAACCATTAGCTAACATTAATTGGCCAACATTTGAGTTTTTGGGAACAACCATTAGAATATGGGGATATTTGAAGCATCAAATTTAGACATATTTCACCAGCTATTTATCAACCATTGGAATATGGGGATACTTTCACCACTAACCAGCTATACCATTGAATATGAACAGGGATTCACCATTTCTATATTTGTATATGATGGATGATACAGCATGGGACGGAAATTTGGGTGCAGACATTTGAGACACAATCTGTAGGCCAACAACAATATGTTTCTTACTGTTCCATTTGGGGCTTTCCGAGGTGCCAAAAGTTGTGGAGAGAAAAACAAGTTATCTTAGTCATGTACCATCTGGTTATTTAACATAGCCATGGAAAATCACAATTTTTAATAGATAAACCATCTATAAAATGGGCCATCTATACCATGGCTATGTTAGTCATAACCAGATGGTAACTCATGATGTTGATTGGGAATCCCAGGGCGAACAATTTTGGATGTGGTATCCATGGCTAAATGGTGTATGGCGGTGTCATCATGATCCTTGCCTCAATTTTTGTCTACTGTACCTTTTGACTATCATTACAAACATAATCATCATAGCTATAGTGATTAATCATTTATTATTGGTTATCCATTGATTCTGGGGAGTATCATCTATTTGATTTTGTCGTCCCGGACGATTTCATGAGGACTTCACAATGGATACCATGGAGACAACCATCTTCCATTGGATGGGTATCCAATCATCCATGGATTGATAGGGCTTTATGGATGATCCAATCATCCTCCATGACCATGCATTGTCCATGGGAAACGATCCGTTTGACCAATTCCTGTTGTCATCTCAACAGGAACCTCAATCCTTTGCTTTCGTCTCCTACTTGGACGGTGAGGTGAATGGACTGAGATGTGGCAATAACATGTGGTAAACCCATGTTCTGGGATGCTTTTTGCAAAACCTTCCATAGATCTGGGTAATCTATTGGTTGTTCCATTGGTGAGTCACTTCTTCAGAAAAAAAACCTACCTGACGAGCTGCAGCTTGAATTCAGACAGACTTTCAACGGCCTCTTTGAAGGTACAATGGAGTAAGGCCATTTGTTGGGAGTAACATTTCCTTAGGCCTCGCATAGACCTCAAAAAAAGGCGCCGCACTTCTGATACCTCGATACGTGTCAAAATCTTTGGCCCCATACATGGATAGTTTCGCACCAGACACGGGTCCTTTTTGTGGCTCCGCCGTTTTTGATCCATCTTTGACCCATACTTCCACTCCAGTGCCTAGTGCTTGGCAGGATGCTCACAGAGTCTCCAAAAAGCCTTCCGTAGAGGCCTGTCGATCACTGAGTCAAGAGCTCACAGTCTAGTTCCGCTGTAGTCTGGTTGAACAATAATTCCCCAACATGGGATGAACATCGCTAGACTTTCATGTTCAAAATGGGTGGATTAGCCACGACATGATTGTGATGATCCTCATGATTGTTGGTGCCAATGGGTCAACGGTCTCATCCCGTTGTCGGGATTCCAAAGTCTTTTTGGCAGCAGTGGGTGAGATGCGGATAGAGATATCACAAACTTGGAGATATCATCTTGTGTTGTCCTATGATTTGGAGGATTCCATTGATTGATGATTGTCCCATAATCTGTAGCAACGTAAATCACTAAAATGGGACACCTCATATAGTCTTTGATGATCCATGACTCCTCCCAACAATGCAGTAGCTACAACAAATCAAGTTTTGGATGACCTCCAAGTCTAACATCTTCACAAACAGTAGTGTATTTTCAAGTAAATGTTCAGAAATGTATATGGAAAAACAACTAGAGATGGTCAGGTTCTTACAACCGCCATTTTCCCTCGGGCCATTTGGTGTCTTTTCTGTTGAAAGGGGCGACGCTCTAGGTGCCCATCACCGACACGTGGCAACTGGAATTGAAGCCCAGGCATAGCGGACGGGAACCGCCAGGAGTTGTGTTGTTTTTTCACTGGATTGGTTGGGGAACATCAACAGGAAACCCATGTTTTTTACATATTTTTGCCATGAATTGCTTATGGGTCTCCGGTAGATTTTCCAAAGCAAACCAATCCAGTATTTTTTGATAGTCGATGGGATATGTCCCCAACAACAAGGATTATGAATATTTACGATGTTTGATAGCCTCCGGTAAGTTAACAGCTCACTGGAATAGATGACCCGTTTAGTTCGATGATACCAGAGTTGCAACCGCTTGGGGGCTGAATACTTCACCAAGGTACCGGGGTTTCACGCCATTGCCATTTCAAGTCCTCAACACCGGAGCATCCGTTGGTTGGTCACCTTCAGTTTACCTGAACACCTCTTGAAAGGAGTTTGGAAAAGAAACAGAACATCCCCTTTAGATGTCTTTAGATGGTTTGGCTATTGAACCTGAGGACCTTGCTAGGGTAAACAACAAGGGACATGAAACTGGGCGGTGGTCAGGCTGGCCAAGTACGGCAACAGCAGTGACAAGCGCGTGGCTGGCTCAAGGGCTCGCTCAAGAGGGGACAGAACTGACTTCACCATGGGGATTTCATGGGATTTTATGTAATTTCAGAGGGACCAGGCTTTTGAGTTTGACCACACTCTGCATCATCCGGCCCAGCGTGCCATCATATCTGGCTCAACCTCAGAGGCGATTTTACGTGTCCCACCTTGAGACCAGTCCCCCTGGTCACCTATGATGGAGCCTCTGGTACCACGACCTCCGAAGGACCCGAAGGACGCGCCTGGAAAGCCGATCCGGACACTTTTGGGCGCCCAGAACGCAACGAAGCGAACGGAAGGCGGAGATGGTAACGTGAAAGCCTGGAGGCCAAGTGCCGTTCTAAGGCGATTGCCAATCATTTCTGAGACTTGGATTATTGGTGAAGAGATACGAAGATTCAGGAAGAAAGAATACTAGGGACTCCTAGGGACGTAGTGTTGGTATGAAGCATTTTTTTTTTGATTTTTGTGTGTTCCTTTTTTTGCCAAGTTTTCACCATGCTGAGGAAGAGGACAAGAAGCCATCACTGGAGAAATTGGTGGAAGAAAGGGAAGCGCGAAAGCAAACTCGCTCAAAGTTCCATGGTCGGGCGTTAGAGTGGAGCCGGCAAGGAGCAGATGGGGCCCTTGCTGGATGAAGATATGTTCTTAAATGGTGTTGTCTTGAGGATTGGAACCCAATTTTTAATCCCAGGGTCGAGAACAGCTCATTTTTGTTCGCTGCGTTTTCGTTTCAATTCTGTGGTAGCTCTCATTGTGGGACAAATCCATATTATGGCTTTGGTCTACAAACATATTAATTATCATCAAGATTATATTAATTATCATCTACTATATCATTAACAATCCATATTATAATAAGAAAGACACGATACTTGTTCAATCATTTGTATTCACCATCCAGCTATGAGCCGACTATTTGCTCAGTGTAAACCAGGGTACCAAGGGTCTTGACAACTTAAATAAATAAATCAATCCATCCATCCATCCATCCAATCTGATCCATCTCATCCCATCCGATCCCATCCCATCCCATCCCATCCAATCAATCAATCAATCAATCAATCAACCAGTCAACCCTAAAACCAATCAACCTATCAAGCTATCGAACTATCTAGCTATCTAGCTATCTAGCTATCTAGCTATCTAGCTATCTAGCTATCAATCGATCAATCAATCAATCAATCACTCAATTTGCCTATCTATCCTATTATCCCATCTTATCCCATCTTATCCTATCTTATCCTATCTTATCCTATCTTGGCCTATCTTATTATATCTATCCTAGCTATCCTAGCTATCTAGCTCTCTAGCTATCCAGCCATCAAGCCATCTAGCCATCTATCCTATCCTATCCTATCCTATACTATGCTATCCGTCTGTCAGTCTGTCCGTCTGTCAGTCTGTCCGTCTGTCAGTCTGTCCGTCTGTCAGTCTGTCCGTTTGTCTGTCTACGTGTCTATGTGTCTATGCGTCTATGTGTCTGCGTGTCGGTGTGTCTGTGTGTCTGTCTGTCTGTGTGTCTCTGTATCTTTTTATCTGTTTGTCTATGTATCTGTTTGTCTGTGTGTCTGTGTGTCTGTCTGTCTGTGTGTCTGTGTGTCTGTGTGTCTCAGTATCTGTCTATCTGTTTGTCTATGTATCTGTTTGTCTGTGTATCTGTGTGTCTGTCTGTGTGTCTGTGTGTCTGTCTGTCTGTCTGTCTATCTGTTTGTCTGTCTGTCTGTCTGTCTGTGTGTTTGTCTGTCTGTCTATCTGTTTGTCTGTCTGTCTGTCTATCTGTCTATCTGTCTGTCTATCTATCTATCTCTTCAATCTCTTCAATCTCTATCTATCTCTATCAATCTCTATCAATCTCTATCTACCTCTATCAATCTCTATCTATCTCTATCTATCTCTTTCTATCTCTATCTCTCTATCTATCTCTATCTATCTCTATCTATCTCTATCTATCTCTATCTATCTCTATCTATTTCTATCTATCTCTATCCATCTCTATCTATCTATCTCTATATATATATATCTATATCTATATCCATATCTATATCCATATCTATATCCATCTATATCTATATCTACCTATATCTATATCTATATAAGTCTATATCTATATCTATCTATATCTATCTATATCTATATATGTTTCTATATCTCTATATATCTATCTATATCTATTTCAATATCTATATCAATATCTATCTATATCTATTTATATCTATATCTATCTATATCTATTTATATCTATATCTATCTATATGTATCTATATCTATCTCTATCTATCTCTTTTCTCTATCTAGCTCTTTTCTCTATCTATCTCTTTTCTCTATCTATCTCTTTTCTCTATCTATCTCTTTTCTCTATCTATCTCTTTTCTCTATCTATCTCTTTTCTCTATCTATCTCTTTTCTCTATCTATCTCTTTTCTCTATCTATCTCTTTTCTCTATCTATCTCTATTCTCTATCTATCTCTTTTCTCTATCTATCTCTTTTCTCTATCTCTTTTCTCTATCTCTTTTCTCTATCTCTTTTCTCTATCTCTTTTCTCTATCTCTTTTCTCTATCTCTTTTCTCTATCTCTTTTCTCTATCTATCTCTTTTCTCTATCTATCTCTTTTCTCTATCTATCTCTTTTCTCTATCTCTCTCTTTTCTCTATCTCTTTTCTCTATCTCTTTTCTCTATCTCTTTTCTCTATCTCTTTTCTCTATCTCTTTTCTCTATCTCTTTTCTCTATCTATATCTATCTCTTTTCTCTATCTATATCTGTCTCTATCTCTACCTCTATCTATCTATCTATCGATCGATCTATCTATCAATCAATCAATCAATCAGATAGATCTCTAGATATACATGTATAGACGTAAATATGCCTGACCCCAACCTAGCAGGGAAACCCATCCTACCTTCCATCACACTTTCGGAGCTTCAGGAGATTCTGAGATGCGGATTGACGTCAAGGAGTTTGCCGCCCTGTTCGATGACACACCCACTGACCGGAGCAGCTCGTGAAAACGTAGATCTGGGTTTGTTGGAAAATTACAGGAGTACTTGAAATCCAGCAAAATCCCATGGTCCTGTAAAAATTGGCATTTGGGGAATATTCACCGTTGGACAAACCCAGCTGTTGATGTAGGAGTGCAGTGTGAACAATGCATCAGAAATTCACGAGAGCGACTGCTTTCCGAGATTGGGAGGCCAACGCCACAAAATTTACATATGGCTTTAGGATGCTATATAGGTGAAATTTTTCCGCCTCACCAAGAGTTCCGGTCCTGTGGGCCCTTTGCTTTCCGATGCCCAATGACTGCATCACTTTGATCCAACAATTTTCCGGCTTCCCAATCGAATGAACAGTAAATCCATGTCTAGTTTTGCACAGGCTTTCGACAAAGCTTTAGCCCTGTCGGTTGATCGCTGAGGGCAATCGATTCCGATGACAGAAGATTCCCTGGGAGCCTCACGTCTTCCAGAAGGGGTCCGAAATCACGGACGAAATCATGAGATGATCCTTTGAGTTACTATACAAGTAGGATTTACTGTTTGGTATTAGGGGAGTGAGAAAAATGCTTCGTCTCTGGCTTACATTCCCATTTCTCTGGGTTTGCCAGTAAGCACTCCGAACTCGAGGGACCACTCCAAATCCATGCGAAGACATCATCAGACATCGTATAGTGTGTGCATCTTGAGGTGTTGCCTCCACCACCCTGGTGCGTGCGCAAGTTCACCTAAGATGCTCGCAGCTTTTGTCTCGGAGGGCATTGTCAGAAATGAATAGAAATGATGCAAATGATCAGAAGTGCCATTCGACAGATGTCAGAAAGTGTGTGAGTTTTTTTAAAACATGTATACAGTTCTGAATGCCGTGTTTTATACATGTTTTCCATTTAAAACATGTGTTTTTTAATTCTTTTTTTGGCAATGCCGTTCCAAACATTCCAAAACTCTCCGCACAGATTCCAAGCAAATTCCATGCAAACAGTTTTGTGGCGTCGGCCGGGCCACTGGCCGCTTCAAAAGCGTTTGTGGCCCGGACAGAAGCGTTTTTGCTGCAATCACGTGCGAAGCGCTGAAAAGGGAAGCAGTTCGCCGCTTCGCAGATGAAGATAAATGAAGCTGCTGGTGGTCAGCGCAATTTCACTCCAGAAAGATGTTTTTCACTTTGGGCTCTCATAAAGAAAGGACGAGGCAAGCAGAAAGTGTCTTGTTTAAAGTGCAGTGGCAAGTTCTGTGGCGCCAGGTCGCTGTCAAAGCTGGGCTCGATGATGATGTTGGCTTTGATTGGATCCATTTGATCAAGAGGCAAGGGTCATTGGAGTCATTGCAATGCCAAGCCGCCACGGAAGCAGCCCGAAGTGCGTTTTTGGCCAAGCGCTACACTTTCCTGTTGTTTGATGGTAACAGACCTGTCTTCATCCAAGAAAATCAACCAATATACTCCAATATCTCATTCTTGACCCAGTAAAATGGTAATTTAACATATGGGCAGTCAAATTTTGAGGTCATATTTAGCAGCAACCATGTATTCAATGTATTAATATTTTTTTCTATCTGTTGACCCATGCCCATAGAATAAAATTGGCTAAACCCCCAAGTTCCGTCTTGGAACATGCTCAGGTGACGGCCTCTGTATCGGAAAAAAACTTTGCGTCCCGGAGCTCGTTTTTTCGGCCATTTCGGGAAGCAATAAATTTGGAGGTACCTACCATATAAGGCCTATGTTTCAGGTTTTATATATATATATATACATGGATTTAGCACCAAAACTTGGCTTTATATGGTACAGTAGCTCCCCCATTTTAGGATCTTGGAATTCCCATTGATGGGGATTAAGGGGGGGGATAATACTGGGAAACGCCCACCACAAACCACGGTGGATGTAGGCGATGAAACCATGTATTTGGGACCATGGAATTGGGGTGTTTAATGTAAATGGGGATATGATTACCAGAACAACTTACAGCAAGAGATCTGGAATGACGGAAATTGGATTGGGGCAATTATCCCCAGATAGCTGAACTTTTAAGGATAGTTGATTGTAGTCTATCCGGATAGGTTTGGAAACCCCAGTTTGCAGATCATTTTC